TGTGCTTCCCGTTACTAATCATCTATACTTTCGCTTCGTAGATACAATTGTTAATTCTTCCGTTATACATCTCCCTTCTACCTTCGAATTACACGTGAATAATTTTTTATGTATTATACTCTAATTTTGTCACCTACTTTTAATGTTCAAAAACATGTGTCGGGTAGTATGCAAGAAATATGATTCTAAATTCACTATTTATGACGTCTTTTTTTAACCAAAATACTAGTATATATAAAATTGATAATTTATTCCAATCCTAGTTATGTCAATTATTTGAGATTAAATATAAAAATATTGTCAAGAATTCTTTAATCCTGACATAAGAAATTTATCTTTAACTAATTAAATTGAAAAGTTAAATTAACTAGAGCGTGCACAAACTGACCCTAACATCATATTAAAATCCAGACTTTTTCTTTTTTTCTTTTTTCTTCTTCTTATAATCTTAAGAACATACCCCACGCATCAACCTTGAGCATTTTAGAAAATAAGTTCTCATAAGTGATTATCCAAAATTCAACCCCTACTTTGGCTATATAAAAGTAGGAGAATATATAGTTCGCACGTGCTAACGGTAGAATCATATATGTACCCTTTTCGTTTAATTTTAAGTTATTGTTTTGAAAAAATAATTTATTAATTTATTTTGTTTTTATTTTATGCATGATTAAAGATATTCTCTCAGATGAAATTATGAAGAAAAATTAAGATAAAAAATAAATTGAAAAATAAATTGGAAATGGATGAAAATTAAATTGCTACTACCCCACAAAATGGGTATGAAATTGAAATGATATCCAGTTGCGAGGTTGAAAGAGAAAACATGTATGGGGTAAATAGGAAGAAGCAGTGCATACCGAAAGCTTTGCCATGTGATTGATCCGCAAACATCGATTGATAATGATATGAGAACAAACAAATATGTTCAAAGATATGATAGTAATAAATATTTGTATTTATTCATTTATTGAGAATGCACGAGATATATATATATAAAGATTCCCAACACCACAATTACATGGAAATTGCCCAGTGAATCGGGATCGAGTGAGTGCCGATTTTCTTGACTATTGTTGACCTTCATCTGTCCATGTTCTATGCACGTGGATTGTTTTTAATTCATGCAAATGCAATTTAATTTGAGTCTATGTAGAAAGTTAAGTGTACGGGGTCTTGGATTGAAGTAGTGTTGTGAAATTGTGAGTTATGACCAGTGCAGAGTGAAACAAACAGATAGGCCAATCAGAATGGTACCACACTACCACTAACATGCAGGACCAGCACATCATTATTTTCATAATACACATTATAAGTAGGGAGTTACTTTTCTTATGTTGCATAAGAGAAGTATTATCTCCTACACTTATATTTTTTAGACGAGTCTCACTTTTTTTTTTCTCATTTTTAATTTTTTTCTTTCTCCTATTTATTGTTTGAGTAAAAGATAATACTTCTCTTATTCAACATAAGAAAAAACGTATTACCCTTATAAGTATTATTATTTTCTTGTTTTGATGAGGTGGAAGAATAAGTGGAGCAGATCAATAACCAGTTATTCAAGTAATAACAAATTTGTTTTTCTTAACTAAATAACTTCATTTTGAATTCTGAAAATATAGAAAATGATGTTGGAAGAGTTGTAATATGGGTTTGACAATGCTCCAATTGAATTATATTAAATTGGCTAAAAAAAAAAGATTAAATGAAGAAGTAAATTTAAGAAAGATTTTTTTTTTTACGAATATAAACTGTAGCCGTGTTTAAATAAAAAACAAATCAACCGAATATTTTTTTTGAACTGATACAAAAACTAAATCATTTTTTAAAATATTATCCGAACTGAACTATTTTACAGATTTGGTTTGGTTCTAAATAAAAAAACAAAGTCCAACCAAACTGCATCATATTTTTTTAATTAATTTAAGAATCAAATTATTTTTCCAAACCGATTTAAAAATAGTTTGGTTCACTTGATTGATTGAATTAAATTCTACATAAAAAAATCGAATCATACCCACTTTTAGGTGAGATAGTTGCTCTACATAATACATAACTACGAGGTTATAAGTTGAATACTCACTTGGCTTCACTTTTTAGTAAAATTAAGTTAACACACAATACAAGATAGAACCTAAAAAATGGGTCTATGCAATTCAGCTTGTTGAGGTGAATTGATTGGTAGAATCAAATTAGTATAACAGTAAATATCTTTTTTAGTCCCTAACAAAAAATACGGTTCTCACTTTAGTCTCTTACAAAAATAAATTAGTCAGTTAGTCCCTAACAAATTCAAAGTGGACTCATTTAGTTGAAATCGTGGTCCCTCACAAATTCAAAAAAGACCCATATTAGTCCCTCAAAAGTAGGGTTGGCAAAAACGAGCCAACCCGTCCTAAATGAGTCGGGTTGGGTTGGCCTAAATGAGCTGCCAACCCGATACAACCTGACCCGATACAACCCTAACCCAAACGAGCCAGCCCTCGGGTTAAACGGGCCAGCTCGCGGGTTGGGTATTTTTTTTAAATTAAAAAAAATAAAACGTTTGGTTTGAGCGTTTTAACGCTGAAGACCAGAATCCTTTTCCAGCATCAGGGCGCTAACACGTTCTGGATGGACGTTTTAGCGCTCATGACCAGCATCTTTTGGCTTCTTTCTGTAGCAGGGCGCTAAAACGTTCTGGATGAACGTTTTAGCGCTCAACACTTAGAAATTTTTTTCTTCTTCAGAATCTTCTTCCTTCTCCTAGAGCCAACCCGCGAGCTGATTATCGAGCCAACCCGCGAGCCAACCCTAACCCGGCTCAGGTTGGGCTGGGTTGGGTTTTCTGGCTCGTTTATTTTTTCGAGCCAACCCTAACCCGACCCGATTTTTACGGGTTGAATGCGGGTTGGGCCGGGTCGAGCCGGGTTGGCCCGTTTTGCCAACCCTACTCAAAAGGACTAAAATGGGTTCACCCATTAACAAAAAATAAAATAAAAAACATGGATTCACCCTGAATTTGTTAGTAATTAACTGACTAATTTATTTTTGTAAGGAATTAAAGTGGGGATCATGTTTTTTGTTAGGGATCAAAAAAGGGTCTTTACTCTTAGCATAAAATAGAACAAATTTTTTTTGACCCATGCAAGCCTAATAGCTCTCGCATAAGAGATATGTTAGAGAGATATAATATAAAATTATTGAATGTTCGTCGCTTACTAACTTTAAGTTTTTGGATTGGAATAGTTTTTTATATAATTAAATTCAACATAAAAAAAAATCGAATCATACCCACCTTTATTAGATAATCTTGAGCTATGCACCAAAAGCGACCACGTTTTACTAGGAACAAAAAATCAAATTATGAGCAATCTCTAGTCTCCACTCTATGCGATCCAACATAATAATCCCTTTCATTGAAATTCAAGTTCACGGATGAGTTTTTTTTTTTTTTTCAATATATTTAACTGTGACAATTTTCTAAATTTATAGTATCCGTGATCCGTGAGTGTTTCTTAACATTTTCATCACTCATCACGTGGTTCCTTTTAAGCGAAGAGATGCAAGCGTGGCCATGTAAAAGTGGTGACTCGCGAGTTTTTTTTATATAACGGTCAACATATAAATAAAAAGGCCGTATTATATGATGATGGAAAATATATTAATCTGATTATTAATCTGATCATCATATGAATATATTATTTATGGTTGAAATTCAGTGTAAAACAATGCTATCTAATTTACGAATTCATAAGCTAAATACAAAGAAATAAGAAAACGGAAAAAGTGAAAAGAAAAAAAGAGAGAGAATGAAGATGGAAAATATATTAATCTGATTATTAATCTGATCATCATATGAATATATTATTTATGGTTGAAATTCAGTGTAAAACAATGCTATCTAATTTACGAATTCATAAGCTAAATACAAAGAAATAAGAAAACGGAAAAAGTGAAAAGAAAAAAAGAGAGAGAATGAAGATGAAAATGCTTTGTTTTTTTTTTAATTGAAAGGATTTCTCATCGACATCCTATTTACAGGAGCAAATATAAAGAATAAATCATATTTATTTGGAGCCACAATTTTCATCTTTTGTGTATTATTCTTTTTTGAGGCCATAACTTTGTGTATTACTTTTTTTCTTCTTATTTGTTTTCACCTTTTTCTATTATTTTATTTCATTATTATTATTTTTTCTTCTCTTAATCCTTTTGCTAATCTCAACTATTTTGAAATAAAAATATTATTGATGTTAATATTAAATCTGAAATCAAATAATCTTGATAGATGGAGTATGGTTTAGGTCACAACCCATTTAACAGGCTTAATCCATGTTGATACCGCTTATTTGTCAGGAAATATAATTTATATTTAATAATAATTTAGGGAGTGACAAAACGTGTCATGTGTCAAACGTGTATATATCGTGTAAACCTCTATGTGAAATAAAAGGGAATGTATTATCTCAAGTGGAAAAGTAGTTATGTTATTTGATCAGAATCACTTATTTAAAAATTATATATTTTTCTCTCTTTTATCTTATCATCAATGTGTGATTGTGATCAAATAACATGATTGTATAATTTTTTTATTTTTTTTGAAAACTGATCCTAATCACTCTTTGAGGCGAATCAGAACCTCCAGTATCCTCACGGGTTCGACTCTTTGAGCCACCTATGAGACTAATTCAAAATTCGAGTGCGAGTCCAAGAATTACGGTACTTATGCCCCTCCCCAGATGATGTTGGTGATATTCAAATCGAGGTCCAAGTATAATAATCCATTCTCAAAATAAAATGAGTTGGGTACGAGTTAGAAAAAATGACATAAATTATTGTCTTGTCATGTCACGAGTTCATTTACATGACCCACGTGTCAAATCACAAAAGTTTTTGTCCAAAAAAATAAAAAGAGAAATTATTTTTGGTAATTTTGACACGAATATTGTGGCACGAGTCAACCCATGGGCTATTTTGATAACGAAAAGCCCAAGCAGTTGAGGAGCCCAAAACGTGCACTCCCCTACTGAGAGGCTCGCCGCGAAGCAGAGCTACAGATTGAGAACGATGCTGGCGGTGCTGTTCAACGCCGATTTATCAACGTTATTATGTCCTAATAATCTTGTCAAGGTAATCGATTCTTCTATCTCTCTCTCTCTCTCTCTCTCTCTCTCTCTCAATTTTGACATGCAAATTGCGAATATGAATAGCTTAGCTTAAATGTATCTCTGGTTTCTGTAATTTGTATATGAATAATGGTTGTTAGACAACACATGTTGCTGATTTGAATGGTGAAACGGCACAGTTTGTTAGATTCGTTAGAGACACGTGTAGTCTGATATTTAAGTTGTTCGTAAATGCAGTTAGCTCTGTTAGTTAGTTAGTTAGTTAGTTAGTTAGGTTTGCATATTGTTCGTAATTCGGTGTATCTTACTCATATTTTGTGAACTTGCAGGCATAAACGAGCTTGGTAGTTTCACTACATGTTTTGAAGTTTGAACTTTGAACTCAGCTTCTTGCTTTCAGTTTTTATAACTGAATGCGTTTAGAGGTTTGGGACTTGTTGCATTTGAGAAAATGGTGTCAGCTTTGATCTATCGTGCTTCGCGAAGGTTCCTAAAACCTTCCATCATCAACCCTTTGATCTCATCTCAACAATCCGTATACCGAAACCGCGGTCTAATTCTTTCACTCAGTCCAGTCAAGCCATCTCACCTTCGGATTTCCAATTTTGAATTTTGTAAAAGCGTTAGATCTCTCCCAAATTTACAATTTATTGTGCACATATCTTCGTTGCCTTCGAAGGAAAACAAGAATCAAAGTAGTAATGCCGGTAGTGGAGGGGATATCTCTTGGATTGACTTGTACTTGCCTACGAAGGTTCAGCCCTATGCTCGGCTTGCTCGGCTCGATAAGCCGATCGGAACATGGTTGCTTCTATGGCCTTGTATGTGGTAAGAGTTTTTGTTTACTTATATTATGGGTAAATGCTTTCTCATCAACAAAACATGGAGAGCTTAATGGTTTTTATGGTTTGAACTTCATTGCTAATTGGAAATATATAGATATTGTAACACCTTTGAAATTGGTAATGAGTTGAAGAAATTTTTAAAACCCATGAACAGGGCGAACCTGGAGATACGGTAAAATTGTTTCTTTGTGACTGAAAGGTCAAGAGTTCAAATTTGGGAAACAACCTCCTTGCAAATATGCAAGAGCAAAGGCTGTGTATAAGAATTTTCCTCACCCCACCCTCGCTTGTTGGGATTTAATGGAATTTTTTACATGTGCAACTTGATTTATTGTAACCTAGTTCTTATGCCTAGATTTTTCTTCTTTCTCTTTTGATCAATTCTGAATTCCTAGGTGAATTTAGCTTATTTCCAAATTAGATCCAGAACAAGGTCAGATCCTATACTGTCTGTCAACCTTAAAAGTTCTCCGTTTGTCAAAATCCTAATAGAACCTTCTCATTTAAACCCATGAAATATCTAACTTCAAATTGTTACTAGTTTACCTTTTGGAACTGTCAACATCCCTTCCAACATATTGCAAGTTAGTTTGTTTTACCTTTTATTTGTATTTTGCACCTAATGCTTTACTTACACTGTAAACAAACCATTTATCTACAGAATATTGACACAAGTATACACATAATCGCATATACCACATATATATGCAGAAATTAAAACGAACATTTTTTTTAGAGGGAGGGTGGCTATCTTTTTCTAAATTAGATCATGCCTTAAAATTTATCCCTGCCCTTAACTCCTTATCAATGCTCCATTTCTAACTTTGTTCTCTCTCTCTCTCTCTATCTCTCACTTAATGTTTCTAATTTTTCTTGCCTTAGGTCAATTACCTTGGCTGCACCCCCAGGGCACCTTCCTGATTTTAAAATGTTGGCTCTGTTTGGATGTGGGGCTTTGCTTTTAAGAGGTGCTGGGTGTACTGTTAATGATCTCATTGATCGGGATATTGATACAATGGTAAATATAGTTGTTTTTTTTTTTTAATGCATATTTTTATGATAGGAGATATTGAGATAGTAATTTTGTGTTGTAAATTATTCTAACAGGAGTGTGTATGTGGGATATGTTTGACCAGTATAATAGATAATGATAGAAGAATGATCTAAAAGCTAAGTCATGCCAAGTCTAGTGCCCTAGCATTGCGTATGGTCTGTTAGTTCATCTTCATTTTCTATAATTTGCATTGAAAATGTTCTTTTTCTTCTTGCCTATCATGTTTCAAATATAGTTAAATTATGTCAATTTACCTGCATGAAACTCCACTATTTTCTTTTGCTTGTTCTACTTGTAGGAAGATTTCTTGTCTTCCGTTCTTCCCACTTAACTTCTTCCTACTATTGATAAAAAGATGTATTTGCTAGATTGGGTATTTGAGGGTCCAAGTGATGGATAAGAGGAATGGATTAAGATTCAGGTTGAATCAAAGAGCCTAGAAGATATAAATTTTACACCCAAAAGATTGCAAGAACAAGTTCCTTATATGCATGGCTATGTATGGTTAAAGCCCAGTATTACTTTACCTCATTATTTCCCACCTATTAGGGTTACACTGGGGGACACTGGTTGCTATCTTATTTAATTTGATTTTATTGCGATTACGTTATCCTTGTGATTTTGTTTTAATAGAAAGACTTAATGTTTATTGAGCATATGATTGCATTTGATGTCATACTTCTTCCCTCTGCCATTTTTCAGAAATGCTTGAGTTTTTATTTTTTCCCCTTTTAATAGATGATCTTAGATTTTAAGTTCTGAAAGATACTGTACACAATCTATAATGCAGGTAGAACGTACAAAGTTGAGACCTGTGGCAAGTGGTCTTTTGACACAATTTCAAGGACTTAGTTTTCTTGGTTTTCAATTACTTTTAGGTCTTGGGATTCTTCTGCAACTGAATAATTATAGGTTAGTGTCAATTTTGAATTGTCAAAATCTATAGATTGGGGTCTATCTTTGTTATGTTGGGGCTTTAGATACTTAAATTTGTAATATCTGGAGTAGTTATGAAGAAGATAGCACCTTCATGGAACCATGATCTGTGTTTCATGTCCTTGATTAGAAGATTAAAAATTATACAGAGTTGTAGAAGAAAATTAACCAAGATTCTTCCCACAAGAGACCTTAAAACTATTAAAAATGGGAGGAAAGTAGGTTAAAATGATAATCAGCAGAATTGTGGAACATCATCTCCTTTAAACTTCTGCCACAATAGAGCGGAGGAAAAAGGGGATGGTTTCTTTATTACATTGCATAATCTCACAAGTAGCAGCTGCCTCTCCTGCATATTAGCCATGGTTAAAATTGATTTTCAGCTGTTTCATAAGAAAACACTGTTATGTGGGGAACAAGGAAGATATAACAATCCTATATCCACTACCAAATGCTATATAAGAAAGAAGATTTAGCACTGCAATACACCCTGTGAAACACTATTATGTTCAGGACAAAGACTGATCCCCATTTTTTTCACATGGCTTGCAAGTGCCTTGCTTCCTTCTACTAGAGTTTACATGTCATCATTATTTCATATGCAGGCATAATTAAATGAATATTAAGTGTGAACATGTGAATCTTGCTAAAGTTTTGGATATTTTTTTGGCTTGTGTACATTTTGCAGCCGTGTTTTGGGCGCCTCATCCTTGTTGCTCGTGTTTTCCTATCCCCTCATGAAGAGGTTTACATTTTGGGTAATGAATTTTCTCATTTTCAGTTTCTTCTGACAAAATTTTTTCTTATCTTATTTCTTCATTATTATCTTTGATGTATGATCTCATTATACTTTTATATGATCCTCTCCTATAATTATATTGGTTAGCCGCAAGCGTACCTTGGGTTAACCTTTAATTGGGGGGCTTTGTTAGGATGGACAGCAATTAAAGGGAGTCTGGATCCATCTATTGTGCTGCCACTTTATGTCTCTGGAGTTTTTTGGACTCTTGTGTATGATACTATCTATGCACATCAGGTAAAGACAACATTGCTTCTTGTAAGATGTAATCCCTATTATTTTTCTCTGCTGTCCTGTCTTTTAATTTCTTCGTGATCTGCATTGATGTGTGGGTTCTGACAAGAAAAGGGCTGCATTTATGAACTTTTTGCTTGTTATTCCTGAACTTCTGCCTGCTAATGAACTTATTATGCTCTCCTTCAGATATAGGGTGTGTAAAAGTCGTGGTAAATTTTTCAACCATGTTCAGATGATTATCTTGTCTAACAGTTAAAGTGTTATGAAACAAAGAATACAATGACAAGACTGCTTGGTATCTTCCACATGAATCTTTGATTAAAGCAATGTACTAACAATATTCTAACCTTCGCATTCAGGATAAAGAAGATGACCTGAAAGTGGGAGTTAAATCAACAGCTTTGCGTTTTGGTGATTCGACAAAGGAGTGGATTACTGGGTTTGGGATTGCATGCCTTAGTAGTCTTGCTCTTAGTGGGTATAATGCTGAGATAGGTATTTGTTTTTGAACTTCATTCTGTTTTTCTGTTTCTTTTTCCCATGACTGTTTGGATTGCAATGATTGTTTTCTACCTCCTGAGTCATGTGTGTGGAGCAGGCTGGCCATATTATGCATTTCTGGCAGTTGCGTCTGGACAGTTGGGCTGGCAAATATGGACAGTCGACCTTTCATCACGTGCTGACTGCAATAGGAAGTATGTTTGGGAGGGTTATTGCGTAAATTCATGATTTAATTATCCAAAACCCATATTTTGAAAGGATCCCTAGTCTTGGTTTAATTGGCTTAAACATCTGTTAGAGCCTCATAATACTTTTTTTTAGTGGTCAATACCATGGAAAAGCAATTTTGAGATTATGATTAACTTTTTCAAATTTCATTTTCATTTTTTCAAAGACTTAAAATTTATACAGCCTTTCTACAAACACTTGATGGCATATTTATACCCTCAGACCTTAACATATAGAATCCTTCCAAAATTCAGTGACTGTTCAATTTTTCCGTTAATTACTTTTCAAATGTTTTTTTGTTTGATGGATTGCGACATGTTATAAAATTTCTGATGTAACAATTAGCTTATCATATAAAGTTATAAACTACTCCCCATTAAACCCCGATTAGCGAGGGTAGGGGTGAGGGCAATTCTTATACACAGCCGTACCCTTACATATTTGTAAAGAATCTATTTTTCATATTTGAACCCGTGACCATTCAATCACAAAGGAGCAACTTTACCGCCGGTCTAAGTTCACCATACTATATAAGGTTAGATTCTCTCATTTAAATATTATGAACTGACTTTAATACCTTTTTTTTCCTTCAGATTTGTCTCAAATAAGTGGTTTGGAGCTATCATATTTGGGGGAATCCTAGCAGGAAGACTTTCATCATAGGGGTAAATTTTGCCTATTACCGTAACTGACATTCCTAGGAAGTTGCATCTGATTAATCTTTGTATATTTACAGTTATCTTGTATAGAACATGTTTCCAGAGGCAATTAGTTATGGCTGAGCTTTACTCATTACATGTTCAAACATGTTCTTTTTGTTATTTCTTCTGAACGAAGTGTTGAAACATGGTTACTGATATAATATTTGTACACAGAAATGGAACAGTTTTCCCCCATTCTACTATTATGATATGCATTAGTTTTATCAAATCTGGTTCCATTGAAATAATTTTGGAAAAAGGTTGATCTGGAAGAGCTAATAATTATATTGGACTCAGAAGGGAAATGGTCAATGTCAAGTGATTAAGGGTTAACTAGTTGAGTGACTTGATTAGCTTTTTATTAAATATTTTCCTCTAATACCAACATCTGGAGGCTGTCTATGTAATCTCTGTAGACCACAGTAAATAAGACCTGAAAGAATGAGATGATTGTTTTATGGCACGGACAACCTAAACATTTGAGCTCCATAAACTTGAGGTTGTGACCAAGAAATCAATACTCCAGGAACTTCCCGAGTTTGAATTATGGGTAAGTACTGCATGTGCGTGCAGCCAAGGGGCATCAAATACCATTTGAAGGTTCCAAGTTTCAAGCCAAGGAGTCATTGGTGTTTGTCCACTTACATATGTTTAGACGAGTGAAAGGTCATTGTATTCTGTACTAAAAAAAAAAGAAAAAAAAAAGGTCATTGTATTCATTACATGTTGGCTTTCATTGATGATTGTTGGAGGTACGTTGCATATTTTTCATGAAAGAAAAATCAGAAACGTTGAAAAACTTAAAATTCAACATTTCAAAGGATTCGTTGTCTTGCATAGACAATATACAAGAGTACATATCTCAAGAATTTCGTTACTATCAATGGGTTTGCAGACTATAAGTTGTCCACGCTTCTTTTTCTTTTCTGAGACAATTACATGCCCTAACACTGCCAACAAAATGGTATTGCGGATTTGTGAAGCATAATTATTGCCAACGATGTGCCAATTAGATTGTGGGCACAATGGATGACGAGACAATTACTCATGTCATCAATAGGCTTTCACAAGCCAAGTTGAGATTTATCTTACCATATGAGAAGTTATGGAAACCTAAACCCATGTTGAGTCATTTCTTAGTATTTGGTTGCATATGCTACTTTTTCTTTTTGAAACAATCTAAGGATCAAGTTTGACATGAAAGAAGTACATTGTATCATTGTGAGGGTGTGACACTGAGAGAAAGGAATGGAGATGCTATGACTTTGACCATAGGACAAGGCGATGCTACACATATTGAAAATGTGGTATTTGATGAAGCTTCCTCTTGGTGGTCACAGCAAGAAGCAGTGTCACTGTTTAGGACCTTTGCTTAGCAGCTGAAATCATATATAGCAGGAAAGTGGAAGAGAGAAAGTGAGGACATTCATGTTCAACTGCCAAACAAACGGCCAATGATGAAGAGAAACTTTAGACCAACTCATTTACACGTTGTGATCACCTGAAAAAGGTAGAAATAGAGGGTGCTGTAAAAGCTTAACTAAGAAGATGAACAATATCTATGAGACAGAGTGTCTCCTACTCCTACCAGTTTTCCCCTCTGTGCCCCGAGACTTCCTACCTGATTTCTGTCGCTTTCCCCCACCTTGACCGCTAAAAATTGCTATTCTCCCTATCCCCTTAGAAAGTGAGGTTAAGAATGTTCTTCCATTTCCTGCCTTATCAATCATGCCTTGTTTCATGAACATCTGTTCCTTCTCCAACTCACTCAGCCTCACCCTCATTCTTGAAATTTCCAGCTTCAGTTCGCGGTTCTCTCTCCGCAGAGAAGCATAGTTATCCCTAGGGGACATGGCTGCACTTGGAACACCACTGCTTATTCTCTGTGATAGCAGCCCATCTCCTGAACTCCCTGACAATGCATTCTTTAAACGCATCTGCTCAAAATACAGGACTTGCACCACCATCTGCAATGGAAGCCTGTCATTCTGGGCAGCATGGTTGCATGCTTCTTGAGACAGCTTCTGACAATCAATCAACATGCAAAGCTTCTTGCATTCTTGGTCTGTTAGCGCTGCATGGGCCTGAACAAGGGGAGGAAAAAAGGTGGTATTGTCAACATGAAGAATGAGAAATGAATAACAAATATAATCAACTGTTGTATGATTGAGAATGAGGTTTAACTAGAAGTGCCTAGCTATTGGAATCAGATGAAGATATTCTCTTTAGTCCAAGCAAATTTACCTTCAAATAAATGTCAATAGCTCTGTAAAGGCCATCGTCTATAACACGAGCATAATCAGGAAGTATCTCAATCAAAGCTGCAAATTTCTGTAGACTTAAGTAAGGATCAGGAGCAATTTCTGCTAAATAAGCATCAATAAGCTGCCCCACTTTTAGCAGAGAACCATGGCCAGTAGTACCAAGCCCGTCGGATTCATACCCGTAATCTTCGGTTTCTTCGTCTTCAATCCGCTGCAAAAAATTCACCAGTAGCCTGTGAACTGTATCAACATCAAACAAGGAGTCCCCACTTTGTAAGGATGGTATAAGCAGATCATCTAGTGAAACCATTTCCAACCGTAATGCAATCCTCCTTTCAAGCTCAAGCCTACAGGGAATGGTGGCACCCAACATGATAGCCATCTTTAACATGCCAAACAAAAAAGTCAATGGAATGGAGGAGCTTTTGTCTGTTGGCATGAGGCTTACAAGAGTTTCAACAATTGTCCTCTGGTCCTTTTCTACAGTTGTTGGACTTGAGTTTATCCTTGATGGATTCCAAAATTGACACTTTCCAATACCCTTCAATGATGATTGAGCATAATGCATCAGTGAAGCAATAATGCTGTCTGATCTAACCCCCATTCTTCCCATGGCACAAATAACTCTCTGGAAGAAATCAATGTGCAACACTGAGAGATCTTCAACCCACCATGCAACACAACCCTCCTTTAGTTCTCTAGATTCACCATCACATTCTAATCTAGATAAACCAAAAACTAGTTGCTCCTTGCAAGCATTCATTGCAATGGCATCCACACAACCGTTTGAAATTTCAATCTCCTCCACTATAGTTGGAGGTAATATCTCACAGGTGGATAGCACTTCCACTGACTTCTGAAGATTTTGAAAGACAATCTCTTTCAGATAAATCTCTGTTCTTGAGATGAGGTTTTGCTCCCTGAATTCTTCTGACATTTCCAGGTACTCAGCTGCACAACGTAGCCGGGCAACATTAAATGTTGTAATCTCAAAATTCATCCCATAACAGAACTTCATGGCAAGTTCAAATGTCTGGTGTCCCCCTGGAAAGTTGAGGAGCTCCAAGCTTGAAACATTGGAACCTTTTGCTTCAGCAACCATCTTCCGGATCTTCCCACTTAGGGTCACCAATGGAAACTTCATGAACCAGGACAAAGTAACAAATTAGTTTTTAATACATTTTGAGTTCAAAGCAACTGTTTTTGTAAATTTGAAGTCATTATCTAAATAGTCTTGAGTTGACTGGTGCAGCTAATAAATGCTTAAAAGAAGCCAAATAGAAGTCACCAACTTTTTTCTTTGGTATTCTAAAGTAGGCATGACTTTTTGCAAATAGTTGTTGATTATAGTTGCTTGTTAATATATTATGGATTCTTAAGACATGCTGTTCATTATATCCGAATTCATTGTAGCAACTAAAAGAAACTCACCCGAATTCAAAGCCATAATAACTACAATTTACGAGATAAAACTTACAATTCAAAATGACAAAATAGAACAAGCTCATGAAAGTGTCAACCGCATCTTGAAAGATTTACCTTATGCAGCAGAAATGACTCCCCATCAACGACAACTGTAATATCACCAGCAACATCAGCAAAAATCCTGCAATAAAAGGGAACAATCTGTCATGACAATTGTCATAAAAGCCTATGAAAGAAATACAGATTTAGAAATCCACTGCAATCTTTGATTCCTTGCACCCCTACCAAAACATCTCACACAATGAAAAAAGTGCAAGAGTTTAGGATAACAGCACGCCAGGAATTCTACTTGAATTTTCCCAAGAATTTAGATAATTTCTCTCGACCTCAAAAGCTCCAAATATCTCACAATAAAACTTGTGTTGGATATTAAGTACTCACTTTCAAGACTAATATGCATAGCCTTTATTAATAAAATCCAGATGATGCTGGCTAACCAGGTTATCAAATGTACAATCTACAAACAAATACTTTAATTCCAACACCAGTAAGATATAACTTGAATGAAATGAAACCCACCAAAACAAGCACATAAAGTTACATTTTTAATATACTACCAAATGAAATAAAGAAATACAAGTATATTACACTGCCAAGACACACAAATAAATATAGTCAGAGAGAACAAGAAGCAAAAGAGAGGATGAGTTTGTTGCTGTAATACCGAGTAGTAAATGAGTTGCAAAACTTAGGAGTAACTGGAGAGCGTTTAGAAGAAGAGAGTGAGTTTTCAGAAACCATCTTTGTTTCTATCTGTTAGAAGAAAAAGAGAAGAGAAGAGAAGAGGCAGCTTCTCCTGCTGCCTGAGCTGTGTATGTTTCAGTAACAGGCAACACAAACTGTGGCCTGTGACTGTGGATGATTAAACAATCGAATAATGCGTACGGGAGATTATAGGTTCAGGAATATTTTGAAGTAAACGCCCCAAAAGACCCTCAACATAGCAATCAATTATTCACAAATGCCATGGTACACATACAACACTACTTTTTCTTTTCGTTTTCATAACTTGAGCAGTGTGTTATGGTCTTCTTACGAGTGCTGAACCATCTTTTGCTTTTTGGCTGCTTTTGTTTCTGCCTTTTTGCGTTATAATACTGTTACTATACACTGTACAGTGTACAGACACATCTTATTCACACGTAATAATATAATCAAGTACCACTGTTGGCATTGGACGTGGGACATTACGTTACAGAAAACTGAGTGCAATGGTAAATATTTTGCAAACAAGGCTGTGCCTGTGTGTGTCCTTTGGGAGAGTGGATCTTCTCATGTGAAAAAGTGATCATGTGAAGTGGTCATGTTATTTGATCACAACCATTCATTTAAAAATTATACATTTTTCTCTCTCTTATCTCATCATCAATGAGTGATTGTGATCAAATAACATGATCACATGACCACTTTTTTGACACGAGAAAAGATCCATTCCGGTGTCCCTATGCTTTATTGGGTTTTGATTTTGAAATGACTAAAACTGAATGTTGGAATTATGACTTTAATGATGCCATTTACTCACACAGTTACATATAAAAACAAATTTGCAGCTGTAACTGTTGCAATTGTTTTTTAAGTTACAAAGAATTTAAAAGTTCAAACATGAATTTCTTTTTCTTATTTTATTTTTGGGTTTCTTTTTTCTCATGTCACATGAGATATCATCTCTCATGTCATAGACACAACAAGTGGTGGACCCACCACTTATTAAAAAAGAATAAAAAACAAAAAAGATAACACGAATTTCGATGTCTCACAACATGATAAAACTATCTCCTGTTACATGAGAAAATGATTTTCCTTTATTTTTATGTGTATCATGTGAGCTGAATGAAAACATGAGTGGCATTAAGAAGAAAAAATAGAATGATATTATCTCCTCAAACTTATCTTTCATAATGACATTGAATAACACCTTAATCTTACTTTAACTTTTTTGATATCTCATACAACAGGAAATCATCGATATTCTTGTGTTAAAATTTTACATGATCTGATTATATAAATTTTTTGTATTTATTTATCTCTTCACATGTATTAAATAAATAAGGTCCAATTATTATTAATGAAGAAAGAGATACACACAAAAATTTTGCATAACTAACTCTTGTAAAATTTTAACATGAAAAGCTCTGTTCCCTGTATAATCTATGTATGAAAGTTTCCTTAAAAAAAAAATGCACCTTCAAGTTACACCATGGTTGGTGTATGTAATATGTGATTGTGGTTGAAAAGCAAAAGGGGTGACGACAAGTAGGACATAATCCATATGCAGGAGGAGGCAGGGGATGGCAGTGATGTTGATTTGGTGAAGAGAAGGGTCAATGTTGGTTGGAGCTTAGAAGGCAGAAGAAAAGGAAGAGAGAGGGTTCAAAAGGAAAATATTTATTATAGTCCAGGATCATCCAATGATCTAGTGCTCCTTCTCATATCATCAATTTTTTTTTTCTCTTTTTACTCCTACTATTTTTTTCTTTTTCAATTTTACCTTTCCATTTACATTAAGGAATCACCTAAAATGATAGTCCCGGACCACAATAAATAATCTCGTTCAAAAGATAAAGTGGTCAGGACATCTGACATGGAGTGTTGGTGGCATGGATCCATGTTCTGTTCTTCAGGTGACACGGAACTCAATAAAGATGCAATTATTAGAGACAGCACCACTTCACACTCTGCCTTCTTATTTCTTTCCCTATTTATTATTATTTGCCAATTAATAATAATATATGTTAAGACAACTTGTATGAATTCACAATATATATTCATTGTCTTTCAGGCCTCTGAACTTTGAACAGATATTGATAACTTCACGTTTCTTTTTTTTATACTAAAGTTCTCCTTCATTTATGCGGGTAATCATTTGCAAAAATATAATTTGATCATTAATTCTATATTTAGCTTCATGACAAATATGAAGATTTTTTAACAAATGAAATTATTTCCCAAAAGAAACTGCCTAATAATCTATGTGTCTTTGCTTTTTTTTATTTTATAAACAAGTAAATATGCTTATACGTTAAACTACTATTTTGATTCTTCAAATGTATATTTGATATCAATTTAACTTTTTTAAATATTTGTAACATTGAATTAGTTTTTTAAAAAAATTTAAAGTGCCATTAAATGACTTGATTTGATATTATATGAAAAACTAAAATAATGTCACTTTTATTTGACGTTACAATTTTCTTAAAAAAAATAAAATTAGTATTAATTGTTTCTTTAGAGGATCAAAATTCTAGTTTAATGTTTTTCAAAATTTCAGTTAATTTATGTTACAAGAAAGTCATAACTTTATGAAAATTCTTTATGACCCAAGAATTCATGTCAGATAATGGGAACTGACACTGTCTCAAAGAAGAATCCCTCATGATGGGTTTATTGTTAATTACATGCAGGAAAATGAACAATCACATACAAATTAGGTTCCTTCAATTCTTACAAACAGGTAGAATTTTTCAACGAAGGGCAGTATATTTCCTATTCAAAAAAATTTCACTTTAACCTTCTTAATGATAACCAATTTAAACAAGATAGCGATGATTAAAAATAAATGTATTATATAAAAAAGATGCATTTATAAAAAGAGAAGCTGTACAAAGCCCAAGTATAATGGTGGCCCCATAACTAAAAGAAGCAAGTGATCTTACTTTGTAAGTGGGGTCCACCCAATGGGTGTTCTACAAATATCTTGATTCATTTAGTCACTATGTCCTAAAAAAAATAAGGGAACAGTGACCAAAATGTCACGTTTTGACAAAAAAATTATCAGAATGCCACGCGAACAGTAAAATTTTTCAAACTGCCACGCGGCATAATTCGCTGCACAGTATAGCGAATTATGTATGCAAGTAATTCGTTACACAGTGTAGCGAAATATGCCACGTCAGAATGCTCAGAACCAAAAAGTGTCATGTCTCATAATGTTGAAATTCGCTACATAGGGTAGCGAATTTCAACAAACTTGACACATGTCACTTTTTGGTTCTGACGTGGCATATTTCGCTACACTGTGTAGTGAATTATTTGCATGCATAATTCGCTACACTGTGTAGCGAATTATGCCGCGTGGCAGTTTGGAAAATTTTACTGTTCGCGTGGCATTCTGGTAATTTTTTTGCTAAAACGTGACAAAATGATCACTCTCCCAAAAATAAGTTATATCAAGAGTTGTACGTTGATAATGTGTTTGATTTTTGAGAATCACAATTTTTGAGAGGTGGAAAGCAGTGGTATCAGCCTCAAGTCACCTAAACTCAGCTAAAGCCAAGAAAAATTTAACAGATGTTAAATACAATAACATAGAAGGTTATGTTTATTTTTCGAAAAGAGTAAATATTCTTTTTGGTCCCTAACAAATTTAAAGTAGACCCATTTAGTTGAAATTGTGGTCCCTCACAATTTCAAAAAAGACCCATATTAGTCCCTCAAAATGACTAAAATGGGTACACTTTGAATTTGTAAAGGACCAACTGACTAATTTTTTTTTGTAAGGGACTAAAGTGGAGATCGTGTTTTTTGTAGGGACCTAAAAGAGTATTTACTCTTTTGAAAATAAGCTAGGGTTAAGGCACTTCCTTCACCCAACGTGACTTCACTATTGATGGAAAGATTCAAGTCTAAAATTGAATTAGTCGAGACCTTTAGGGGGTATTTGGTACACGTCATTTTGTAGGATTTTCGGAAAACTGAATTTTTTTAAATTTTTAATTTTTGAATATTATCGTAAACTGAATATAAAAATCATATTTTTGAAAATCGAGATTCCCGAATAAAAAAAATTTCTGCTCCAACAAACGCCCCATGAGGGTTCCGGATAATGGTTTGTATCTTAAAAAAATTATGTTGATTTGATATAACACAATTTTTATTTTTATTTTTTTTGTTAACCCAAAAAAACAAAATTTGTGGGCATGCCAAAATTTGGATAGGCCTTTGAAAAAGTAGACATTTTGAGGCAAGCCCACAAAAATCAAACCCAAGTTGAACTTGGGTAGCCTAGTTTGAGAGGCAAAAGGGAAGAATGAGAAGAATGTGGTGGAAGAGCGAGACACACACACACACACAAGTCTAAGCATAACCAATCATCAAGTATCCGAGTGTTGAACGGGTGGACAAGACACAAAAGCAGTTAACATTCTCAAAAATGCTAACCCTCAATCTTAATGCTTCCTCTTCTTTGTTTTCGTCGTGAGTTGTTTTGTCTACCTCTTATCTTTTATAACTGTTTTCCAGTTTTAGTTCCTTATGTATGTAATGTTGCAGGTTCTCAGTTTTTCCCTTTCATGGCAATTATACACTGTCTAATCAAAATCAGTTATTACTTCCTTCCAATCTTAATTACTCCTTTGCTACTACAGGTACACTCTCACTCTCTTGCTTAATGGTCATTGCTCCTTCCCCTTTTTTTAGCTTTTGATCATAATTTATGTACTCTATACTTTATCTTTTGGTTGCAGCAACGAGAAAGTTGAAGACTTTTCAGCTCAAGGCTGGATTCTGGGAATCAATTAAATCTGGGTACCTTCAAATTTGATTATCCATTTTAAAAATAAAAGGAATACATGAAGGGTACTTCTATTGTACACTGAATTTAGGCTTGTATGGTACAAATCTTATATATATTCACATGAAATTGGCCACTTTGTTTGTGCCTTTTTTGGGTAAAATATTTACCATTTAGGAAGGAATAATTAACCACTTGAAGTGGCTATTACTTCAACTTGCATGGGTGTTTCTTATGTTTTCACATAAACAAAGCTTTCCTTTGATTAATACATGTATGTATGTGTTCCCTGCTGTTGGATTCTAAGACTGCCAAGAAAGCCTAGCTGTAGCACATCTCATGATTGGTGTATCTCTTATCTTGAAAATGTCCTTGACTTGTTCCCCCTTTCAGGTTGGTAAAGAATAACACAACGCAAGTCATCGATCCACCCTCCACAGATGAAGAAGATGAAGAACCTCTGCCTCAAGAGTTTGTCCTTGTTGAAAAGACTGAACTTGATGGAACAATTGAGCAAATAATATTCTCTTCGGGTGGAGATATTGATGTTTACGATCTTCAAGCCCTCTGTGACAAGGTGTGTATCTAATGTGTGTTGATGTTTCTATTATATGGCAATGATTATGTGTATGTTAGTTTCCGAATTACTTTTCAGACAGGAATCCATGCACTCGAATCATATTTTAGGAACTTGTGTAACAGCATTATGGACTTCTTTCTTTATATCAATTTTTGTATCTAGATTGATCAATTTCTGGATCAGTATTTTAGTTTCCTTGACAACGTTAAGGATTCCTTTACCTATTTACATTATTCATGATAATAATTTCCTTAAATACACCTTCAGCGCTTGCACTTCTTAGCATTACAGTTTACAGTTTCAGTGTATAGTTTTTCATCACTTAAACTTGAGTACTGAGTATTTAGACTTAATTTTTTGTTTTATCAAACACGCCCTTACTATAATGAGTGGTTCATCCCCTTAACAGGTAGGGTGGCCGCGTAGGCCATTGTCAAAATTATCTGCTGCTTTGAAAAATAGCTATATTGTGGCCTCACTGCATTCTATAAGAAAGTCACCTGGGTCAGGTAAAAATAAATGATAACTTGCTGTGCCCTCTGATTAAATTAATTAGTTGGCTGGTTAAGCTTTTTCTTTATGCTTGTAGCTATCTAAACCTATTTGATGAACATCTTAGTGTACTTGGCGAAGTTATTTAACAGAGGGGAATGAACAGAAGAGATTAATTGGCATGGCCCGTGCTACATCAGACCATGCCTTCAATGCCACAATTTGGGATGTCCTAGTTGATCCTGGCTACCAGGTATTTCTGTCTACCAAACATGGATCTTGAACAAAAACTTTGGTGCCAATTACTGAATGAGTTCTTCCAAAAGTGGAATATGCAAAATCTCAAGTTCATTATATTTTAGTCTGATGTAGTAATCGTGGTAAAGGTTGAATTAAAAATGAATTGAAGGTCTATCTTCTTTTGTGGGCAGCATGTGTTACTTGATGCACTAATCATTGTCTATTTGAAATGAAAAAAACCACTCCCATTAAATCTTGACTAGTGAGAGGTTAGGGATGGCAGCAATCCTTGTATGCATGCAGCTTTACCCTTGCATATTTGCAAAAGAGGTTGTTTCTGGAATTGTGCTAGTATGATTTACTGTGTGTTTTCACAGTGATGCACAATTTTTGTAATGTTGGTGTCTTGCATGTGATTTCACAGTGATGCACATATATATTTTTTACTGTTTCATGGCACTTGACTATGACGTTTGCTTTAGCACATGGCCACCATATGGTCTTGGGTTGAGTATTTAATACCTCTCTTTTATCTGTAAACTGCAAGAAGATATTATTCTCACTGTTACCTACAACATAACTTTGTTTTGAGGTTAAAAATATCATTAAATTTTTGTTTCAGTTCAAATAAAAATATGCAATCTAATGCCTAATTGCATGCTAATTTTATGTTTAGATCTTTTACATGCTATGCTTTAGTTAAATTCATTCCTGAAATAATTTTGTACTAGTTTGATTCAAGCAATTGTTGAATTTGGGAAGCAGATAAATATTCTTAGTTGATATACAATATATTGAGATCTTAAAATTTCTATTATTCTGTGCAAATAAACTGGAGAGAAATTTTTTACATATGTATTGGGAGTCATTCAGTATAAACAATGATGTTTTATGGATAAATGTTCAGTAACAATAGAGTGGGCAATAAAAATTAAAATGGCAGTGGGGGAAGTTGCAACTAGTTTGGGGTAAATGTCATGTTGATGTTGATGATGTAGCAGTGGAAGGTAAATTTGTAACTCAATCCACTCTTTTAATTACCACTGTGAACTCCAAACGATGGTGGGGATTGCCCTTCATTCCCTTGTTAAAACTTCCAAACCCAATAGAGTGGTATTCATTTACCTTTCCACTCCATTCCATTTCAAACGACTCCATTATGAACCATTCTACTTGATCTTCTTCAAAACTACCAAACACTGCCATAGAGGAAACTAACTATTGGATGCTTGAATCTAGGATTTTGTTGGACGATTTGTAAAATGCAAAAGGCAGTGTCGATTCAGGCATTCTGCTAAATTGTTATTGTGCTCAAGTGCCTCTTTGTGTCCTGTTCCGATGTGAGCATAAATTCTGGCTACATATGAACTGGAGTAGTGCTTATATATGTTGTTTTTATTATATAGGGTCAAGGTCTTGGTAAAGCTCTTGTAGAAAAACTGATTCGAGCGCTTCTGCAAAGGGACATTGGCAATATAACTCTGTTTGCAGATAGTCAAGGTATAACAATATTGACAACTTTAATGCATAGTATCATTAATGTTCATTTTTTTGTTAATTACAAATTTCAGTGCAACCTGTCAAAGTGCTTAGTTATTTTCTGGACTTGTGCATAGGCATCTTATTATATTGCCTTGTTCCATCTTAGTTGGGAGTGTAGTTTTCTTAGTATTATTTAGGAGCTTGGAGTTTCATGCTCTTTCATGGTTATGCAAATGAGAACTTGGAGTCTCACTATTTGCTCTTGTATGTTGCATGCAGTTGTGGAATTTTATCGTAATTTAGGTTTTGAAGCTGACCCAGAGGGCATAAAAGGCATGTTCTGGTATCCAAATCACTGATTGCAACCATTCAAAAGCTTGCTTATGCATCTGTTTACATTGGTTAACATTGCAACCATGAAGTATATAAAGGAGCAGCAATTGCAAGTTTGCCTTTTAATTACAATCTGAAAGTATAAAGATTGGATATCAATGTTGACATGTTGTAATTATAGTGTTAGGTGCTAGCTAATAATTCTTTTTTCCGAAGTTTTGCTACTTTTTAAACAGATCAACATGAAGCTTTGGTTAAAGAGCCAGATTCATATATTATCAGTGTACTTGCTTTATATATGAAAAACCTGAGGTCAGTTATTACTTATTTTTGGGGGGAAGTAATGCCAAAAATTTCAAGTAATCAAGAGAGAATATTTGTGTTTAAGAAATAGTTTTAACAGTACATGTACATGCAACAATGAAATTGATACATATAATAATATGAAATTAAAATATATCGTACAGAAATATATGAATACAATAAAGAAAAATTTGAGTCTAGTATTTGATCATGTGTACTTAAGATAATTTGTCTTTCTTACGGTGCCTAAAATTTGTGGATAAAATTTCTGAACAGAACAAATTATCTCTGTTTAAAATGAGAAGTTGGGAAATTCTGATTTTTATTTTATATATATAAAAAAGTAAGATTACAATTTAAATGATAGCTATTTAACAGCGAAATGACCCCTTGTTTGGAGAAGAAATAACACAATTTTTTTTTACTCAAAACTTCTTGTTGATATCATACGAAATTCTAACATTAACTTATGGAAAATTCTATATTTTTTTTTCATTTTTGCATAAATGTTTGTAGGCTTTTTGACCCTTTTGCCCCTCATTAATTAATTAATAACCAATTTGCCCCTGATCAAGAACTATCCACCAACCTGCCCCCTTTTAGTCGACTACCTTGCTGTTTTAGTTGAGCAAATGGTCAATCTTCAGAAAGTGGACTACCGCAAATTTAGTCGACTAAAAAATCATCTTAATCGACTACATTTTTGGGATATTTAGTCGACTAAGTATCGATATTTAGTCGACTAAATATCGACGGATTTGTTTTTTAAAAACCCCCCATTCGGCAGAGGGGGAGTAGGATGACCTAATCGACTAAGGAGGCGGCCCAAACCCCAAATCCGCATGAGCAGCTGAAGAACGCCTCAAACCCTTCCCTTAGGCGTGTGGATTGCCCCCAAATTTGGTCCAAATCGTGAAATCTGAAGGATAGGTAAGGTTTCTTAACTTGCATTGTGTTTTAGGTTTAGGAATTTTTTGTATTTGTTTGTTGTCCGAATTTGTGAACTCTAATCAAAGCGTTTGTTGTAGGTTTTGTAACCCTAATCTACTAAGGTTTATTTTTTTGCATTGTGTGAATTTTTTTGTTTGAAAAGTTTGTATGTGGCAAAAGTTTGCTTTTGGTTTACAGCGCTTATGTTGCAAGTTTTCATTACCATCATGACATGTTTCATATAGTTAAATGCTGACATGTTTCATTGTAGGTACCCTAAACAAATGACGAGCCGCAGAAGACCAAGCGATGAGGGCAATGAGTCACTTGAGAGACGCACCAAGCATAGGCAAGAGCGGCCTTCTTCGTCAAGGCGACAAGACGAAGAGCCTGATACTGTTGACCTCCCGTATGGGTATCTGTTTGAGGACGACCCTGCCGTCCACGCTTCATTCGTACGTGACCATTTGAACCGGCCGTTATGTGCTCCAAAATCTTTGGATACAGCCTTTTTTGATAAGGAGGGATTTGAAATTGTGGGGGTGTTGGAGGCGGCACATCTGAGGGTGTTGGCCGAGACCCTATGTCCGTATTCAGAGCTTATGGTGCGGGCCTTCTACCATAACCTCAGCTACGTACAGGGCGAGCTGAGGTCGAGGGTCTGTGGAATAGAGATCATCATGACGGCACCTGCATGGTTGGAGATACTCGGCTATGATTTTGACTCTTCTCATACTTGGTGTATGACGCTGATAGTGGTGTAGTACTTCCAGGATATGTACGAGAGGATGTCGTGCAGGAGCAGAGAAGAGTCCGTGGGGAACACTTGCACTATACAGTGGGGTTGCTTTCTGTGGAGTCCCGTATACTACACTATGTCCTCACCCACGTTCTGTTTCCGCGATCTTTTAATCATTCCAGGGTGTTGGAACATGACATTCCCATTATGTGGGCTATCCGACATGCCCAGATGGTGAACTGGAGGCACTATATCTGTTGGTTTATGTTTAAGGCCAAACATAAGGGTCATCTTCTATACGCCTGTCTGGTACAGAGGATATTGGTTCACTTTGGTGTTCCCATGGAGACCGAGCTGTTGAAGAAGACCACGGGCTATAATTGCAAGTTCGGAAAGCGTCTATTGGAGCAGTGCAAGATTACTAAGAACACGAGATCGGGTGTGTGGGAGTTTAGTGGTATGCCCCAGGTTGAGGTTCCTTATGTTGCCCCAGATGACCATATTGTTGAGCCAGATGTGGAGGAGGAGGAGGAGGAGGAGGAGGATGTGGCTGAGGTTGAGGAGATAGCTGAACCTGAAGGTGGATTTTCACTGCGTGATGTCATGAAGGGCATAAATGCAATGACAAAGAAGATAGGAAAGATGGCGCTGGCACATAAAAAATGGAGAAAGAGAGGGAATGAAAGGTTTAGACACATACATGGAAGGTTTAAGGGTGTGGAAGACAGGCTTGCTCGTCTGGAGCTTGCAAGAGGTGGTCAGGTAGCTGAGGCAGCAGGGGATGGGGGTCATGTGTCAGATGAGGACGACTCGGAGACGGACACAGACGGGGATGACGAGTAGATTTAGGGTGTACATCGTGTTATTATGTTTTGTTCATGTATTTCCTTTAAGTCGTTGATGTAATGTAACTTTTTTTAATGAATGCAGAATTGTTATGTTTTTTGGATCTATGTTGTGTTGTGTAATGAATTTAATTCCATTTCAATATTGTATAACTTATGAATGGAACCTTTTTAGCAATTTGATCATCACGGCACAAAACAATATTGAACATGTCACATTCGTCCATAACACATCACAGCAAATCAGTACATGTGTTTAAAAAGGCTACATCTTGTATTGTTAACCGTAAACAAACGTTATGACAACATACGACTTGGTTTTAGGAATTTAATGTCCACATGGGTTTTTTGACTCGGAAATTATGCTCCCTAAGTCACACTCCCTTAGTGGATCAGTGTAGAGTGGAAACCTAGGGCAAAAAACATGTGTAATTCGGATTTGGGGTCCTAAACCAACAATTTAGTCGATTAACCTGTACTAGTCGACTAAACCAGTACAGGTTAATCGACTAAATTGTTGGTTTAGGACCCCAAATCCGAATTACACATGTTTTTTGCCCTAGGTTTCCACTCTACACTGATCCACTACGGGAGTGTGACTTAAGGAGCATAATTTCCGAGTCAAAAAACTAAGATGAGTCAAATACAAATATCATGACATCAAATACAAACATAGCACCGTCATTTTTTTCAAATACAAGCATCATGACATCAAATACAAACATAGCACCGTCATTACATTCAAATACAAACATCATGAGATCAAATACAAACATAGCACCGTCATTACATTCAAATACAAACATCATGGCATCACATACAAGCATATAAAACCATAAATGCCTATAATGTTAAACCATCAAAACATTAAGCCCCTCCCCTGCTTCCTCCGCAATTCATCTTGTATTGGGAATCCTCATAGGACATGTACGTTTGTTGTGACCAATTTGCTTACACAGGCTACATCTACTCTGACTGCTTGTCGGTTGAGACTCAACCCAATCCATCTCATTCTGTATCCTTGACGATTTGGGTCTTCCTTGTGCACGTACCAAAGATGCATTTGGGATAATGGTTGGGCCATCAATTTGTGGAATCAACAACTCATTGCCCATTGGATACCAATGAGCAGCATATACCTTATCAATTTGTGCAATTGAGAACACAGGATCAACATAATCATAGTGGTTCAACTTTTCTACCTTGCACACCGCTAAGACGTGACTGCAAGGAAATCTTCTAGATGTGAACCGTCCACATTGACATTTGCGATTGAGCAAGTCCACCCTCATTATGTCACCTGCATCATGAGTTGATTGATTGTAGGCATCCTCAACTTCAAATAGCTGCAGGTCCCTATCAAAAACCCGCACACGGAGGCTCACTGTTAATTGATCATTTTTTTGGATGATATCCTCAACTTTTTTTGCAATTCTCCAACCTTTTGCCTTTGCCAATTGGATCTTTTCACGTCTCTTGACGAAATACTCAACAAGTCTACTTTGAGTCATCTTCACCAATGCTGTTATAGGCAAATTACGTGCACCCCTCAGGACCTTATTCACACACTCAGATAAGTTAGTCGTCATGTGACCAAACCTCCGACCGTCCTCATCGTAAGACCTGCACCATTTTTCTTTGGGAATCTGATCTATCCATGAAGCTACTTGAGGGTTACTGTCGATAAAATCCTGGAATCTGATATCAAAATGAATCTTTGAACTCAAGTACCCTGAAATACAAAATGATGCGTTAGATACAAAAGGATGAATTATATACAATTTGTACATATTAAAAAGAAGATTGTACCTAGCTTCATCAGGGTTTTCTTTAATTCCACATCTCTGAACTTAGTGTTAAAGTTGCTTCCGATGTGGCGTAGACAAAACACATGATACGCAAATGGTGGCTGCCAACCGACATGATCTCTTACAGCCCTGATGATGCTGGGATGACGATCGGATATTAGACAAATGCCATGCTTATGCGTGACGTGAAAACGCATGAGGCTAAGAAACCACGACCAATCATCCAATCTCTCACCAGAAGGAACAATAGCAAATGCAATAGGGAGAATGTAACCATCTCCATCTTGTGAAGTTGCAATCAAAAGAGTTCCTTTGTATTTACCGTACAAATGCGTGCCATCAATTTGGATTATGGGTTTACAATATTTGAAGGCCTCAATGCACTGGTGAAAGGTCCAAAATACTCGGTGAAAGACAGCCTTATCCGTATACACTCGACGTTCATCAACACATTGGTCCGTATCAATCTTGAACACAGAACCCACATTAACCTGCGTCATGTATGTCAGCCAACCAGGCAAGAATGCATACGATTTATCCCAGTCGCCAAATAACTTGACAATGGCTTTCATTTTAGCCTTCCAAGCTTTCCTGTAAGATATGTTGTATCCATACAAACGTTGTACCCTCTCTTGAATAAGAACTGGCTTCAATGATGGATCTTCTTTTAACATACCTATATAAAAAAAAACACCGGCCAACAGTCAGAATACAAACTGATTAATGTTAAC